ACATTAGTTTTAGATTATAAAGTTTCGAAAATATATTTAAATGTATTTTTTTACACACATTTATAATTTGAATTTAATCATTACATATATCATAAGTGATTTTGATTCAAAATTAATAACAATTTTTTTTAAAGCCGCCATGATCGGTTGTGAAGAAACCATTTTGGATATATATTTTTTGTGGAGACGTGCTGCTTTCTTTTTACTCTTCCGGTTATAAATTACCATCATTATGTTATTATGATGAGGTAAGACAATGAATTCACTTATTGTACAATTATAAATTAAAGATATGTAACAAAATAACATATAATAATTATACGTGCAAAAATCTAATTATAAATTATTTATAATTTAAATTATAAAATAGTATAAATTACAAAATATATATAAAAGCGTCAACTATACTAATTTTTAGGAAATATGTACTCCAGAAGATGAAACTTTCGGAAAAAAAGATCGCCTAATCTAAAATATGCGATTGGATTGATAGTTACACATAATCATAAAATGGAAGATAATACACGAAAAGATGTTGCTGGGGTCATTATTGGGTGGCACAACAAATGCCAAATTGAACGTTTTAGGTATAAGGAAACATGTTGTATTCTGGAAGATGTTGAAGAGCAATGTATACAGAAAAATATCATCGATAATTGGACATTGCTACCGCATTACGTTTTGTTAAGCGAGAATGATCTGTGTTACGTTCCACAATGTATGTGTATTATATGTAATACTTCATTATACTTTATATACTGTATATTCTGTGATATTTTTGTTTATATTGTTTATGTTACATGGCATAATACATTTGATACTATATTTTTATTTATACGTTTTTATATTTTAGATGTTATAACATCGGTATGCAAAGAATGGATAAATAATCCAGAAGTTGAAAATATTTCTGTAAATTTGAAGATACTCATTATGTGCCAAATAACATGCTAGGACAGCATTATCCAGACGATGCCGCAGTCGTTCGCGACATATTATTGAATAATCTAAAATTATAATTATAACGTTGTTGTATTTCAAATAATTATTTATAATAAATTATTGCCAGTCTGGTCGACTTTAAACATTGAGGAGTGGTTTTTTATTAATTATTACTGGCAACCTTAAGGATTATTATTTAAAATTATAATATTGTGAATGGTGCAGAAGTGTGTGTGTCTGCTCTTTTTTAGTGCGGATTGAAATTCAAAATAAAATGATAATTTAATACTAACAAGAGCAGATAAGGGTAATATAACTGTGGCTTTAGATAGAGATAAATACATCGAAAAGATTGAAGACATGTTAAGCAATGATGAAACTTATTTAGTTTTAAATAAGTATCCGATTAAAAAATTAATCTGGAACTTTCATGATTTACTTACTAGATGGAAAAATGACAATTACATTTTAGTACAGACATATCGTTCATTGTCATTTAGTGAGGGCCTTCTTATTATCAAATCCAGAATTTCACAAAGAAAATTTAGAGTTAGTAATCAAAATATTACTCGTAAATAACTATCTTCTGAAATTGATTTTTGAGATGATATTCATAAAAAGGCAAAATAATAGTTTTAATTAAAAACAGATATTGATGGCTTGCCAGTAATCTATGTCAATATAATACATAGACTACCTAAGATATAAAAGTTAAAAACATAAACAACTAATTATTTTCTTTGTTGTGTGGTCGTCTCTCTGGAGATAAAATCATTCGTTATTGTAACGTCGAACAATCAATATTTAAAAGCCTTTACGTCACAATATAATATCTTACTCGATTTAATTGTAAGTCTATTTTTATTAATTTACTTATCTTTTAATGTTAATTTTTCGTATACAATGATTTTATAAACATATTAACAATTGCTGTTATCGAGATTCGCAACCGACCTCTTAACCGAACAATTAGCGAGAGATCTGTTTCGCGACAATTACATAGAATAACGATTCGAGAAATAGAATATAAAAATGCTCATGTTTAAAAATGCGTTGATTTCGTTTTTTTTTTTTTTTAATAACTTGACGTAGTTTTATGCGAATTACTGTGTTTCTGTATAGTATTATTATATTGACAGTTACGAATAATTGATTGTTAATTTCTATTAATCTTTAATTTTAAATTATGCGCTGAAGAAAGTTGAAAAGAGCAACCAAAACGTAAGAATTTTTTTCTGTCTAATATTTTATGTTATAAATCTTTTTCCACAATAAATCTTAATGAAAGAACTTAATTAGCTCTTATTGCCTTTTATATGTATATAAAAAATTCAAAAAATATATTGTATATAGATTTCTCGGTAAATAATAACAAATCATCGTAAATATCTTGCAAAAGAGAGAAAATCCTTCTAAAATAGCGTGCATAAGAAGTTCATGTAGAGAGATTTATTTGGCAAAAGTTCGGATCAAAAATTGATAATACGTTAGATTATTTAAGCTAACAAAAAAAATGTATATTAATAATATTAAAATTGTTTATAATCATGCGCGCACACACACACACACACACACACACATATTTATGTATTATTTATTCGATCGATTAATATCGGGTGTAATATATATGATATCAAGAGGCACGGTAGTGTCTCGCGACCAGTTAAGGGCGTAGCGGAGACACCGTGTATCTTAACGCGAGTCGGACATTTGAGTCTTTATAATATTTCGAATCCTCAATAATGGCTGAAGCAATCGAGTTTATACTAGACTTAATCGATAGATTGAGTTCGAATTATATAATAAAAGTGTCTTTATTTCTGCTCTACGTGATTTGTAAGCAGAGATATATAAATGCAAAGTCGAAATATGAAAAATTTCTATTAAGAAACGTCCCCGTCATCATTATCATCATTATCATCATTATCATCATCATTATCATCATCGACCACGCATACATAGTAGTATCGTGCTACACGTATTCACACGTATACAACACATGCGCACACATATATCACACGTACACAACACATGCAAGATGCATGTAGTGGTAATTTTGTCCATCTCGCACGTTTACAACAGATGGCGATAGTGGCGCTCCGCCATATCGCAGCGTGCGGGGCAGCTCTCTCTCGATCTCTCTCGCGAGAGGATCGATCTCTCTCGCTAACTCTATCTCTCATCTCTCTCAGATCTCTCTCTCTCTCTCTACTCTATCTCTCTCTCTCTCTCTCACCCTCATCTCTCTCTCTCCTCTCTCCTCTATCTCTCTCTCTCTCTCCTCTCTCTTCTCTCTCTCTCTTCTCTCTCTCTCTCTCTCTTTCTCACACACACACGCACACACACACACACTCTCTCATTCTCACTCACTCACTCACTGTTCGTCTTGTGTACTTATTTAGTACATTCATGATCGGCAGCGTGCGGGGTTATGTTGGCTAACTCTCTCTCTCTCTCTCTCTCTCTCTCTTTCTCACACACACACGCACACACACACACACTCTCTCATTCTCACTCACTCACTCACTGTTCGTCTTGTGTACTTATTTAGTACATTCATGATTAAACATCTATATGCATTAATGTGAAATTTACTTACAATTAGTTTACTTGAAATATTCAATCTCTAAAGTGTTTATCTTATAAGATAGACAAAAAAATCTGAGTAAATAATAGAAAAAAAACAAGGATTATTATTGTCATAATTTTTTATCAATTAAGTACTCTCAACTATCCAATAATTAAATAAATACGTACAAATGTGCGCGCGTGTACACACATACACATATTGATATTAAAGAGATTGAAGGAGAGGAAGGAGAAGATAAAAATTTAAATATTCACATATATTTTCAAATATTATATATGAATTTATAGTTTACATATCTAATTAATAATGAATTTCTAATTATATTAAACATATCAAAATAAAGACATACATGTATTTATCAAATGAATAAAATTATTGAATACAGACTTAAAAAATTTATTAAACATAAACTTAAAAATTAATTAATTAAACATATTCCAAATTTAGAAAAAATAAACTTTATTTATATATGCAACAGCTTTTTAAACTAAATTTTTAAATTCTATTTTATATTAGACAATTATCTCAATCAACATCTACGTCCACATTAGCTGCACTGCAGACTACCTCTACAGCCACATTATCTGCTCCGCGGATATAGCGTTATGCCAATACGATACATTACATGTACTTACTTACTTGCCTTTACTGTACCAACTCTTGTTCTTTCCACGTAATCATGTTTTTACAGTTATCGTTTGCTGTATATCTTCCAGCAAACTTTATTTCGTGTGAAGTGTATTTAATTAATTAAATCTCTGCGAAAGATTGAGAAGATGAAGGGATAATTCAAACTATGAAGACATGGTTACATGGAAAAGACAAGAGTTGATACAATAATAAAGACATACATGTATTTGTATCCTGCTGGCATAAGGTTATAGAAGTTGATTGAGATTGAAAAATAATGAAAATAATAAAAAAAATAAAGACACATGTATTTGTATCGTGCTGGCATAAAGTTATAAAAGTTGATTGAGATTGAAAAATAATAATAAAAATAATTAAAAAAAGGAAATATTCAATCATCATTTAAAAGCATATTTGAAATCTGTAGAATAAACAGTTTTTGCAAAAAATGTGGAGCATTAGAGCTCTAGTAAGTCTAAAAATAAATGTAAACATCAATTAATAATAACTGATGTTATATATATATTATATATATAAACCAATTTGTTGCAATATTCACTATAAAAGGTTGTAAGGGTAAGATGGCTAAAAGTGAATAATTTAAAAGATAGTTAACATAATTTTACATAAACTGAAATATTTCATAGAATAAAATATTTGTAATATTTCGAAGTTTATGTAAGATTATGTAAAAATTATACCTTTACAACTTTTTATAGTAAATATTGCGAGGAATCGATTTATATGAGAAAAATTAAGGTAATTCTATTTTGAAAATATAAGTGACCTTTAAATAACCTTGAAAATCGCCGTTTAGGAAAAAGTCTGTGTCAACTTTTTCTTTTTCGAAATCCTGCAACTTTTATCTAAATTTAATAGAAAATGTATAAAAAATGCTCGACATTAGTACACACACACACACACACACATATGGGTAAATTTATATAAATAGGGTGCTTTAGGAGGAATGATCAGGATTCTAGGATATGATTGTACACATCATTTTAAGCAAAGAAGTTTAGATAAACATGTTTAATAATTGTTCTATTCCGGTCATAAAAATATACAAAAATGAATGATATAATCTCTAAAAACTCACCTTTAAAAAAAGGTAAAAAAAGGCGACCAGTTAAGGGCACGCCATTAACAAAAATTATCCATTGCAAACCCATGTAGAATCCTATCCTATTGCAAACCCATGTAGAATCCTATAAAAAATTAATCATTGCAAACCCATGTAGAATCCTAGGCAAAATTAACCATTGCAAACTCATGTAGAATTGTATTAAAATGATCCATTGCAAACTTATGTAGAATCCTACATTGCAAACCCATGTACAATAGAATTGTATGAAAAATTATCGATTATAAATTCATGTACAATCGTAACAAAAGTAATGAAATAAAAAAAAATTGCGCCAAGTGAAAGTAGAAACTTGTACCAGTGGAAAATTAAAGTTGCAGACATATATAGAGTCGTATAATGAATCAGTAAAAATTTAAATTTGCAAATGTAGAATCGTACCATAAAAAAACTTATCTTTTAAAAAAAAAGATAAACAAGATGCCAAGTCCATGCGCCATGTAAAAAAGAAATAAAAAATTTAGTTAAAAAAACTGGGCGCGCTGCTAAGTTTCAAAATTACAATGCACCTTAAAGTAACATAATTAATTTAAACACAAAACATATTTTAACTGTATGAGTTTAAAAGTAACAATTTAATTTTAATATTGTTAGAATATTATTTAGCAGCGCAAATTATTTATTTAATAATAAAAAAATATTTAAAGTATATATTAACTAAAATAATGTTTTATATTTCAAAAATATGAAATTGGTAGAAATTAAAATAAACAAGAAAATAAAAATAAAAATATATAATAAATATTACGTAAGAACTATGAAAATATATACGTAAGAATTATGAAATTGTATTTTAGTTAATATATACTTTAAATATTATTTTATTTAATAATAAAAAAAATATTTAAAGTATATATTAACTAAAATGCAATTTCATAATTCTTTAATTTACAAAATTTTCCTGTATATTACCCTTGTAATTGATTGATTGATTCTCTCAAAATCTATAATAAAATTCTATAATAATTTCTAGGGAATCGATCCATTAATATGCGTGGGTGGCGCGTGGGTGTATAAGTGAAGGTATAAAAAAAATCATTAAACTTAAAAAATTTTTTTTGCAATATTTCTGAACACATTAGCGTAGAAATTTGAAAAAAAATATTTTTCACAAAAACATACCTTCTCTGAGGAAATAAATAAAAATTAAAAAATTAAAAAAAATACTCACAGCAACTACCCCCGAAAAATTTGCAACATTTTGGTACCAATTTCACGAAAATCGGTCCACAAATGCGGAAGTAGTTCGTGTACATACAGACAGACAGACAGACAGACGGTACTTATATATAAGATGTATGTTCTCGAACGCGCTGCGTGCGTGAGAGGAGATCGCGCGACACAAAGGATAGTCACTTTTGTATAAAAGAATTTAATTTTCAAACACACACTTAATGACAAAATATACTTGAACAATACTTATACAAACGTTAATTATTTTACAGAAAAACTTAATCGAAATCAGAGTACGGAATAAACGGCGGTCGTCAACGAATTTTGCGGTTTAACTATTAAGCGGATTTGCGATATGCGGTATTCACAGCGGAAAAGCGATAAGGCTGACAAGCCGTTGGGTGTGAGCTCCTCCTTTATAGTTTCCGGACGGAGCCCACCCTCGCGTGAAGCGCCAATAATTTTGAGTACTTTAAATATTGCGCGAGGGACCTAACGCATTACTCGTAATTGGCCGCTGTTATAATTGACGCGACAAAGGCTCGAAGAAAGCATACGCGAGCGGGCGATCGCGGTAATTATTGGTGAATCGAGGCGCCCGTGAGAAACTTCTTTTTGGCTGAACTCGTGCATTAGTTCATGTACTAGTTCAGGAGTAGTGCAGACTGGGACAGCATGTTGCTGTCTCTGCACTGCACTGGTTGCCCTTGCTCAAGACCTGGGGCAGGCAGTACAGTGAACTGTTGCACTAAGTTCGATTGCACTGATGAAAAGAACGGGCTTGTACGGTGTCACTACCGAGCACCGGTGTCGAAAAGAACGCTTCAGTGCACACTTCCTGAACTAGTGCAACGAGTTCAGCCAAAAAGAACAGACCTACGATCAGCTGAGACGATGAAAACACGTGGTGATCACGTGGTGCGAAACGATCAGCTGAGACGATGAAAACACGTGATGATCGCGTGGTGCGAAACGATCAGCTGAGACGATGAAAACACGTGGTTGACGTGAAATGACGAGTGTGTAGTGCAGTGCGCGGCGATAATGAGATAATTGTGAGTGCGGTCGTGGATGAGGAGAGTATGAGGCAGAGATCACCGACGTGAGGTGCGGCCTCGGTCTTGAACCACTTGGTGCGCGGTGTGAGTTCGTGCACGTATTCAGCAACCATCGCTGCCAAAAGTGGTATCTCATCAGCTGCAGGTGACGCTAGCGTGACAGCGTGGATGCTGATTGACCTGTCAAGGATGGCTCAGGCACAGCGAGTAGCGGCGCTCCGATGAGGAAGTGATTTGGTGTGAGTGCCGAGGTGTCGTCTGGATCGTCTGACAGAGCCTGCAATGGACGAGAATTAAGACACGCCTCGATTTGCGTGAGGAGTGTGCTAAGTGCTCCTCAAAAGTAAGTGTGGTCTCGCCGATTACTCGACGGAGGTGAAATTTGGTGGATTTTACGGCAGCCTCCCAAAGATCACCGAAGTGAGAGGCCGCTGGCGGATTAAAATGCCAGCGGATTCCTTGAGTGTTGGCGGCGCGGGCGATATGATGGCTCTCGGAGGTCGACGCTTTGAAGAGCTCTCGCAGCGTGCGATCTGCGCCAATGAATGTTGTGCCGCAGTCGCTGTAGATGTCTGTGCAAAGGCCTCTGCGAGAGACGAAGCGGCGTAAGGCGGCTATGAAGGTCTCGGAGGTGTAATCCGAGACGACTTCGAGATGGATAGCCTTCGACCAGAAGCAGATGAAGACAGCGATGTGTCCCTTCTGCGCGCGATGTCCGCGCCCCTTGCTGGTCCGCATGAAGATGGGTTCCGCGTAGTCCAGGCCAGTACTCAGAAATGGTCGAGTTGGCGTCACTCGGTCACGAGGAAGGTTGCCCATTGGAGGTTGTGGGGTGGCAGCTCGCCAGCGAGTGCAAGTGACGCACCGATGCAACTGCTGCTTAACGACAGTCCTTCCGCGTGGCACCCAGAATCGAAGGCGAAGTAGGCCGAGTGTCATCTGGACGCCGCCGTGCAGAGTCCGACAATGGCAGGACTCAATTAACAGTCGAGTCATCCAGGAGTCCGGCGGAACGATCACCGGGTGTTTCTCGTCGTAGAGCAGCAGAGCGTGTTTGAGACGTCCTCCGACGCGCAGTACGCCTTGGTCGTCGAGGAATGGATTCTAGAAGTTTGTTGTATTTTTGTGAGCAAATTGGAAAAAGTGTAAAAATATACTGGATCCCTAGTCATAAGGGTATTGCCGGTAATGAATACGTTGACGCGTTGACGAAGGAGTCTTTGAACCTTGATAATTTGTTCCAGGTGAGTAAATGCCATTACACTAATCTTTATTCCAAATTTAAAAAAGAAGCGAAGGAAGAAGTCATTAGCATCCTATTAACTCAAAGTAGACATAAGGGTGCCAGATATTTTAATCTGGTCGAATCAGTGCTTTCTCCTCCGTGATATAGCCTGACGGATCGAGAGCTGCCAAGACGGTTGGTGCTCATGATTTCTCGAATTAGATCTCACCACGTCTCGCTCCGGGGACACTTTGGGAAAAAAATATTGTTGAATCTCCTGAATGTTCTTGTGGTCATCCATTCCAAGGCCTTAACCATGTTTTCTTTAACTGTCCTGAATTTTGTGTATTTTCCAACAGACTCATCACCGCTGTTTGTCTGAGTGATCTACTGTTGTCTTGGACGTACCACACCTTGCCTTCTCCAAGCAGAACATAATCTACGAAGAACTATCCAATTTTACAAAACGCACTGGAGTCAAGATATAGCTTCTCATCTAAAGGAAATTATGAGTATTGAAGATACAAAAAATACAAAAGCCTGAAGTCTGATTCGTCAAAATTGTCTAAAAATGGTGTATGAGCTTTTATAGCTCCAGCCAAATAAAAAGAAGAAGAAGAAGAAGATATTCAGAGAGACTTACACAGGTTGACATGGATAGACAGATATATTTCAGACAATTATGACTAACAATTGTACGTGAAAAAATATAAATTTACAATATAATTATATGAGGAAAGTTAACATTTAGGCTAGAGATACGGATGACTATAATGAACAGAGACGAAGATTTCGGTACGACTGGATCGATCACCAGAATCGACTAATCGAATTTTCATTAACTATGACAATGATTAACAACTTCTAACAATCTCGCGACAGTATAATAACAATTGAATATACAGGAATGTTCGGTAAACGGTTCGGTCGTTCAAACTCAATATCTCGGGTACGCGGTATACACAGAGGTCACATAAACACGAGTCGAGACACGGCGCGATACAAAAAAAAACAATTAACAATAAGGCGACGGCAATTTTGTGACTCTCTCGCCGAGTCGAAAATCGTAATAATTATCACACTCGCGAAGAACGGCTGCACGCAAATTCCGTAAATTCAATGACCGAATAATTAACAAAGAAGATATCACGCACGATGACCGTGACATAGAACAGTACTCGGAATATACCGACGAACAAGAATGGAAGACTCTCGGAACGATTGACTGTCGGCAGTTGTTTTATATATATATATATATATATATAAATACATTGATTATGTAAAATGTATGATAATCTTTTCTTTTAAAGGATTTTGGGATCCAGAATTTTCTGAGACATCGTCAACCATGCAAAATGAATAAATATAATATCTATATCATCGGATGAAAAGCCTTCATCAAAAGTATCATGCTTTTTCCCGTGACACATTATCGAACCTTTCTTCTATTGGAATTTTTTAGTATGAATATATATTTTTATTAATATATATTTTAGTATGAATATATATACATATATATATATATGAATGATTAGAAACATATATTAAATATATATACTTTCTGATGTACGCGGTCTCTAATACTTATGCCGATGCCTCGAGCATTTCTTTTTTCTTTGCTGTAATTCGCTTTCAGACAAAGACAGACTCTTGTAAGATCGTAATCGCGCACCGCAGAAATCGGCTATTTTCCCCATAGCATCACTTGCGGACATGGATGCTTTTGAAAGGTTCGACGAAAACGGATATTCCAACGCCGTAAGTAAAAAAAAAAAGAGTAAATAGTACTTTTTCGTATTACAGATTTTCGTATTTTTATATATTCTTATATTATTACTGTGATCAATAGGTAAATTATTTCCGTTATATCGGCGGCTTTAATTTGAGAGAAACTGTTAACCTGTGTCTGAAGGAAGGTCTGAAGGATGCCATTGCGACGGTCTTTTACATGGTGGAGCCGCGAAGGACACTGGCCGTTATACAATACCCGTCTTATTGTGGCGATTTATGGTACGAGAATTAAGATATTTATTTACGTATAATTGTTAATGTTACTTTGTATGTTTTTAACGTAAAACGATAATTAATGCATAATTTATTAATAATTTATAATTAATTAATGATGATTTGTGTTTTGATTTCATAGATGGTGTGTGCCAAAACAAGCATTTTGAGAAACCAACGCGCTCTGAATTTTAAGCGCAAATGCGGGAGGCTTTGAGGATGTCTAAGGAGAGACACTGAAGTAGATCACGCAAGAATACTGTTGCGCGCGGCGCAAGGAATCAACGAAACCGACGGAATCTGTGGAACGACGAGCGATCGAACGATGAGCAACCGATTGGAGAAAGTACGGATGAAGAAGTTTTAAACAATTAAACAGGTATGTAGTAACTTATTTGATTTTCTTTCTTAGGTTTTTAGTTCTTAGTTAGGTTTTAGGTTCTTAGGTTTTGCTTGATAGCATCAACGATCTTAAACGATCTTTTTATTTCAATCTTAAAGGAGACTTCAATATGTGTCTGTCTTTATTTATTTATTTAGAAAGAAAGATAAAGATAGACACATATTTATGTCTCGCAAAAATTTTAATGCATTAGCTTTACTTGTTTTTAATTTTCTTATAATTTGGTCATAATGTAACAACTTTTATGTACATCATCTTCAAATAACACGAGGACTGGAACGAGAACGCGGGATACCACACAAAGAAGCGGGAATATTTTCGAATTGGTTCTAAAAGTACTGGAAACGTTTAATTTTTTATTTAAAATAATTTTTTTTAATTTATTATTTTATTTTTAATTAATTTTAAAATTTTTTATTTGAATTTAATTAAAAAAATTTTTTTAACCCTTACGATGTAATCTGGTCAACTTTGTTCATGCAATTTCTAAATTATAAGTTTTCTACTTCACAATATTTGTAATAAAAATTAATATATTTAAACAAATTATAAAAATTTATTTAAACAAATTATTTTCAAATTTATTATTCTAATCTTTATTTAGGAAGATCAAAGAAGTTATGAATTTTTAAAAAATTTTTTAAAACACTTTCATTAATTAATAAATGCATCAGAAATAATTGACCCACCTGTACAGTCTGTAGATGCCAAAAATAACAATACGGATTAAGGGTTAAATTTTATTTTTTTATTTTGATTTTATTTTGATGGAACGCTTCCGAAAGCACTTTTAGTACCAAGTCGAATGCAAATAGAAAAAATAAGAAGATCAGATAGAAGAAAAAGAAGAAGAAGCAATTATATACGAGAACGTAAAATTACTACGCGACCAGTGGATTCAATGACATACATATATATGTATATATATATATATATTTGTAACATATATATGTCGTTGAGTGAGTCACATCTCTCTCGAAAAGAGCAGAGGACAAATGGTACTTTTCAGTGCCTTTTATTCATCTGACATGGATCGCCACGTTTCGCAATAATCGGCACTTTTCAGCGCCAAAATTTTAAAAACTATCTCCTTTACATCCCAATAAATATTATCACACATATCAATCGGTACTTTTTAGTGCCAGACACTTTAGCTCTCGATATTAATATTATAATCATAACACTCTTCATAGTGCTCTACGATTATAATATTAATATTGTCCGTGTGAAATTATATATTAATGCTTAATTTTCTTTTTTTTTGTTTAGGCGGTTTCTGGAGATGCGCTCATCGGAAAATCCCGCAATCCGGTTCTCGGACATCAATTATTTCACACATTTTTAGACTAAAGTTTTATAAAATGTCTTAATTAATTAAATAACAATTATCAGTAATAAATTTACAATTATAATTAATATAATTATTAATATTTGTTTGTTATATATAGGTATATATATGTATTATATGTTTTGTTAATAGTTAAAATTTTGTAAGATTATATTAGATAAAGCGCGCAATAATATGTAAAAAATTATTATAAAAATTATTAGTAAAAAGCAATATATTTAATTTTTCATCAATTTTTATCCGAAAAAGTAACTGGAAAACCCTTTAAATCCATTTAAATGCCCCATTTTATCAATAGTTAAAAACTGTAGATCATGCTCGGTATCTGCTGTCAATCTGCTATCACATTGTGCGCGGTCAGATCTTGCTCGATTTCTGCCGCAAATCTGACATCAAGTCATGTTAGCAGATCCTGCTCGGTTTCTGTCGTCGATCTGCTGCGATCTCAGAGTCTGTCAGCAGGCTTTGTTAGCAAATCATAAGCCTAATGCGGACAAAACGGATGACAAGTTGCTAGCAACTTTTGTGGAAATTTGTTGCTGATCTGATGGCAATTTCCAATACACTTTGCTTTCTGTGTGTAGAGAGATTTATTATCTGACAAAAGATTCGGATCAAAAATAGATAATACGTTAAATTATTTAAAGCTAACAAAAAAAAAGTGTATTAGTAATATTAATATTGTTTATACTTATGCATACACACACACACGCGCACGCACACACACACACACACACACATTTATGTATTATTCATTCGATCAATATCATCGTGGACAGCCATCTTTTTTTCTTTGTTCCCTCCATCAGTCTATAGGTGTCCACGACGCAGTAAGCCACGTGCTTTCTACAAAGCGGAGTTGGTACATATGTAGAATATCATTCAATTTGTTAAGATCAAAACTGCAAGTTATTTTTACTTTAATGGTATAATGACCACGATACAGGATTTATCTAACGAAATTATATTAAGTATTCTCGAAAACGAAACCATTAGTTTGAGCGACGTTGAGAATTTTAGTTTCACGTGCAAGGGATTTGAGTGGATATCACATTATGAAACTCTCTGGAAGAAAAAATATGCTCAGAAGTAAGTTTCTTTATGTATGAACTTTTTTGTTATTTTACTTGATGGACTCATCTCATAAAAAGGAACTTAGCAAAAACTTGGCGAAAAATATATTTAAATAACTTTACACAAAATACTGCCTCTTTGAAGAATTAAATAATAATATTCTGACATTTAAAATATATCTAACTGAACTTATAAGATATTTTAAAATTTATTTATACTTAGCCTTTTTAAATTCGCAAAAATTTTGCAGATATTGTGTCGTTTTAAAACATGACTTAATTTAACTTTTAAAATAAAATTGTGCAAAATTAAAAAAATTGCAAGTGAAAGTTATAAAAAAAAAAGTTTGTTCAGCTTTAATAGATTTATGAAAGATTTTAACTTTATGAAACAATTTCTGAAGAAATAATTTTTTGCTATATAAGAATAGATTTTTGTTATAAGAATAATTTTTTGTTATATTATCGATATCTACACGTGCAATTGTAAGAATTATAATATAACTGTTAATAAGGTAATTTTTCGTATAACAATATAATTCAGAAACATACTCGAAAACTTGAAAAATAATTATTTTATACAAAAGAGTATACATTTTAATTATAACTCCATCAGTAAAGAAATTTCTAAGATTGCACCTAAAATTTCACACATGCAAAAAAGTTTCTCTGTTAATTAATAATAATTTATATGACATAGATATATATATATAATATAACTAATATATATACACACACACACACACACACACACACACGCACGCACGCACGCACGCACGCACGCACGCACGCACGCACGCACGCACACACACACGCGCACACATATATATATATACATTTAAATATATATCTGTGCACATATTTCATCGCGCTATGATGCTGTAATAAAATAGAAAACAAATTTTCTTATTATTTAACATTTTATTACAACATCGCCATTAAACATAAAATATCAGTTTGTCGCAATAAAAGACTGTAAAACAAATCAAAAATATATAGTATGCGTAAATATGTATGTATTTTAAAATAGTATTTTGCGCAAACGTTTTGCGTTTTTTACATTTTAGAATTTCCGGAATTTAAGAATCATTGAGCATTATCAGTTTCTTCTATTTGATATGAATATATAATATGGGATGATGAGTTTAATTTCCATAGTATAAATTTTGAAAATTTTTAAAAGTATTCTAAAAGTGTTTTAAATTTTAGATGGCCTACTGCAAAGCAATTTTGTAAAGACACAATGGGCATTGAATTTAATGACTTAAATATTGAAGATTTTAGAGAGGGTATGAAATGTGCGGAAAACTTGTGGCTTTATGTGCCTCGTATGTCTCAGATGTATTATTACTGTAATAAAACGTTCTACTATAATCTAATACATAAAGACGATCTGCATACAGAAAAGCACCCTTTAAATTTGTTGATTTTACGTGATGAACTTATAAAAAATATATATCATCAAGATCCACGGTATGTGACTTAATGTATTTGAAAATATCATTAAAAATCATTGGTATATTTAATTGATTATTCTGTATTTATTTTATAATATGTACATTTTTCAGCCAATGCAATTTAACAGAAAGATATTATAGCAAAATGATATTTCACAGTCTGTATCAAAACATTTTTAATCCTTTACTTATGAAAAGAATTATAGAAAGACCCAATCGTATGCAGCGTTTGGAAAATTTAATTGTAGTATCATTACAATATTGTCATCCCAATAAGGGTATTACTTTGTTGTATATAGATAAATTCATAGACAATATCATGCAAGACGTATTAAACTTGTTGAAAGATAAATATCTTCGGCATCCAATATTGTCCATATCATCTGAACAATTATCGATTTGGAGAACTAATCGTATTAATAAGAATTTTTGGTGCGTAGAAGACGCAACGTCGATTAAGGATGTACTCGACATAATTATTATAAGTTTTGATTCTTATAAATCATGGATGAAACCGAATCAAATAAGTATGAATCCTATTTTCAATATGTCGGTATGTTAAGTTTTTATGTATGTTTTTTATTATTTATCATGAACTATAGTTTTTTAATTTATCTTAAATATAATAATAATTTTTCATTATAATTATTTTTATTATACTTTTACACTTATTATTCTTCGACAGACAAAGAAGACACATTACATTATAGACAAGCGTTGTGGTGTGCAATATATATCTGCGTTGCAAACAGATTGGGTTTACATGTTCTAACAACAAAACACGGTATAGAAAATAATTATGCTCTACACTCTAATACACATTTGGTTTGGCAATCCGGGTAAATATATAATTTTATCTTTGAAATTATTTTTATTTATTTTGTCGAGTATTCGTACTATACGCACAAGTAGTTATACGGCAATACTCACATGTATATATATTAATTTATTATTATTTGTATTAATTATTATATTTTATAGTTTAAAAAAATTTACGGGTGCCGACTTGTGTAATATTGCAACAAATTAACCAGTTAAAAAGAACTATAATTAATTATATATTTTTAAATGTGTTACAAACAACCACAATATACAGATATTCACATCAAAGGAAGCAACAAATATAAATAAGCATTTCTTACAGACTTTAAACAATCAATGTATACATAATTAACATTAAATGTTTGTAACAAACTTTAGCGTTATTTCGAACAACATAATTTTTGACCATTTACTTATTTCTGTTTATATTCTAATTTTCATATGAGCGGCTAAAGAGACAACAGTAAATGTTGAAATGTACCGTATTTAAAGATTGTAATTTTCTGAAATAATCAAAGTTGTTTATATCTAACATCTATTTCACACTCATCAAAAGGCTTATACATAATTCACTCTGTTGTTTCTATTTAAAATACGAGCGCTAAAATTTAATAACATAAACGATATTTTTTAAATATCATTATTTTGTGGTTGTTTGTGACACAAATAAAAGAATGTTTGTCCATGATTTCTCACTCAAATATTTTATGTATTGCATTATAATATAAGTCAATGTTAAAAAAATAATATTACATATATTAAAAAAAAATCTTCGTTTTTGCATAAAGTTAAAACTTATAAATATCATTAAAAGTTATAATTATTTTTATGTATCTTAAATTATGCAATGAAATTATTCCAAAAATATTAATATAAAATTTAATAATACATAGTAATATAGTTTTTTTCTAAAACCACAATTTTATATTATATATGTCAGCTTATATATTTCGTGGATTATTTTTTTCATTGATATGTTTATTTCAATACATATTTTTATGTGCAGAATGATTTAAAATTGAGAAGTCGACAATAGAATTGTACGATCTTATAAAATTTTTAATTAATTTCTTTTTTTACAAAACTACATCAATAATTAATTACCTTAATCCATGTTTCAAGCTAAGGTTTGATTTCATATGCAGCGTGTATCAATAGTCTTGCACTAGTTAAACGTTTCGAAAATAAATTATTTTATACAACTATTCAGACAAAAATTATAGGATTTTATAAGGTTTATTGATTAGCTTTATAAATTTTCTCTTATTTTTAATATAAAATTTAAATATGTTATAGATTTTAAAATAATACATAAATTTAATTTTTACAATTGAAGATAACATTATTTTGTACTTTCAACAAAACTAATATTATGAACAGAATAAATAACTTTTTTATTGAATCAAAATAACATGACATTTCGATCTGTGGTTTAGGTTATTTTCAAATGCAGTAATAATTGAGATAACATAACAAGTACAGCGATAAGAAAAAACTTATAACATGTTACAAATATAAAAATATATAAAATTAAACGTTGTGTCTAAAAAGACGTCTCGTATTTACTTTAATAGAATTTTAATTTAAGGCTTAGTTACAAAGATACATAATCTCAAAAATTTGGAACATTAATAACATTATGACCTTTCTCGACATTTTCGCTGAGAAAAAATCGTCTCCAAATTGCCTGAAAAAATCTCCCATTAACGTACGAAAGGCGAGTCATCAGACACCCAGTATATTTGGTGGATTATTTATTTCATTGATATGTTTATTTCAATAGATACTTTTATGTGCAGAATGATTTAAAATTGAGAAGTCGACAAGCGAATTGGACAATCTTATTTATACAATTTTAAATTAAATTAAATAAAGTTAAAACTTATAAATATCTCTAAAAGTTATAATTATTTTTGTTATGCGCATCTTAAATTATACAATTAAACTATTCCACAAATAATAAATAATAAAATATAATATTAATATAATATTTAATTATACAAAGAATATAGCTTTTTTCTAAAAAATTTATCATTGAATGAATATTATTTTTAAACATCTATATTAAGCACTGATGTATATGTACATGTTATTTCTTTATTGTTTATATAGAAAGTATATAGAAAATAGAGAATGTTTCACGTTTGAATGGACAGATAATACAGATAATGCAAAGATTTCTCACATAAAAAAATGCCAAGTGCCGCCTCGCTTTATTTCTTTATTTTCTGACAGAAATCTACATTTGGTAAGTAATTAATATTTATATAAAATATTGGTAGTTGTGGACTTTCACTTTCTAAAGTTTATAACTCCAAAACAGGGCGGACGTTTAATTCAGCGATGTTTGATATAAAAGACATAATCAGCGATGCTTCCTCTGTAAAATATTTTAAGAACATTGAAATCAATAAGCTTAATTCTAATAAATTAAAAGGAGCATATAATATATAACATTAATTTTAGATTATAAAGTTTCGAAAATATATCTAAATGTATTTTTTCTTACACACATTTATAATTTGAATTTAATCATTACATATGATATCATAAGTGATTTTGATTCAAAATTTAATAACAATTTTTTTTAAAGCTTGGGCTGCCAAGATCGGTTGAAGACAGTATCATTCGGGATATAAATGTTTTGTGGGAACGTGCCTGCTTTCCCTTTGACGATTTTTGTCATACAACAGCATCAATAAATTATTATGATGAGGTAAGACAATTGAATTCACTCATTGTACATATTATAAATTAAAGATATGTAACAAAGTAACATATAATAATTATACGTGTAAAAATCTAATTATAATTATTTATAATTCAAATTATTACAATAATATAAATTACATAATATATATAAAAGCGTCAATTATACTAATTTTTCAGAAAATATGTACTCCAGATAAAACATTTCGGAAAAAAAGATCGCCTAATCTAAAATATCCGATTGGATTGATAGTTACACATAAGCATAAAATGGAAGATAATACACAAAAAGATGTTGCTGGGGTCATTATTGGGTGGCACAACGAATGCCACATTGAACGCTTTAAGTATATTAGTACATATTGTAGTAGTTCGTATGATGTTACAGAAAAATGTATACAGAAAAATAACATCGATAATTGGAAATCGCAACCGCACTACGTTTTGTTAATCGAGAAGGATTTGTGTTACGTTCCACAATGTATGTGTATTATACGTAATACTTCATTATATTTTATATATTGTATATTCTGTGATATTTTTGTTTATATTGTTTATGTTACATGGCATAATATATTTGATACTATATTTTTTATTTTTACGTTTTGATTTTAGATGCTATAACATCGATATGCAAAAAATGGATAAATAATCCAGAAGTTGGAAAATATTTCTGTAAATTTGAAGATACTCATTATGTGCCAAATAACATGCTAGGACAGCATTATCCAGACGATGCCGCAGTCGTTCGCGACATATTATTGAATAATCTAAAATTATAATATTGTGAATGGTGCAGAAGTGTGTGTGTCTGCTTTTTTTTAGTGCGGATTGAAATTCAAAATAAAATGATAATTTAATACTAACAAGAGCAGATAAGGGTAATATAACTGTGGCTTTAGATAGAGATAAATACATCGAAAAGATTGAAGACATGTTAAGCAATGATGAAACTTATTTAGTTTTAAATAAGTATCCGATTAAAAAATTAATCTGGAACTTTCATGATTTACTTACTAGATGGAAAAATGACAATTACATTTTAGTACAGACATATCGTTCATTGTCATTTAGTGAGGGCCTTCTTATTATCAAATCCAGAATTTCACAAAGAAAATTTAGAGTTAGTAATCAAAATATTACTCGTAAATAACTATCTTCTGAAATTGATTTTTGAGATGATATTCATAAAAAGGCAAAATAATAGTTTTAATTAAAAACAGATATTGATGGCTTGCCAGTAATCTATGTCAATATAATACATAGACTACCTAAGATATAAAAGTTAAAAACATAAACAACTAATTATTTTCTTTGTTGTGTGGTCGTCTCTCTGGAGATAAAAATCATTCGTTATTGTAACGTCGAACAATCAATATTTAAAAGCCTTTACGTCACAATATAATATCTTACTCGATTTAATTGTAAGTCTATTTTTATTAATTTACTTATCTTTTAATGTTAATTTTTCGTATACAATGATTTTATAAACATATTAACAATTGCTGTTATCGAGATTCGCAACCGACCTCTTAACCGAACAATTAGCGAGAGATCTGTTTCGCGACAATTACATAGAATAACGATTCGAGAAATAGAATATATAAAAATGCTCATGTTTAAAAATGCGTTAATTTCGTTTTTTTTTTTTTTTAATAGCTTGACGTAGTTTTATGCGAATTACTGTGTTTCTGTATAGTATTATTATATTTACAGTTACGAATAATTGATTGTTAATTTCTATTAATCTTTAATTTTAAATTATGCGCTGAAGAAAGTTGAAAAGAGCAACCAAAACGTAAGAATTTTTTTCTGTCTAATATTTTATGTTATAAATCTTTTTCCACAAATAAATCTTAATGAAAGAACTTAATTAGCTCTTATTGCCTTTTATATGTATATAAAAAAAAAAAAATATATTGTATATAGATTTCTCGGTAAATAATAACAAATTATCGTAAATATCTTGCAAAAGAGAGAAAATCCTTCTAAAATAGCGTGCATAAGAAGTTCATGTAGAGAGATTTATTTGGCAAAAAGTTCGGATCAAAAATTGATAATACGTTAGATTATTTAAGCTAACAAAAAAAATGTATATTAATAATATTAAAATTGTTTATAATCATGCGCGCACACACACACACACACACACACACACATATTTATGTATTATTTATTCGATCGATTAATATCGGGTGTAATATATATGATATATAGATATCCTCGATGGAAGTGAGAGTGAAACTAATTGTAAGATGACTCATTGATTCCCTTAATAGGTTTTGATGACTTTTCATGTCACAATTAAATTTTCTTTTTATAAGAATAACGACAATTTATGTATAGAGTAAATTCATATAACATTATATTAAATGTTTTTTAATAAAGAAGTAAATTCATATAATATTATTAGGGTTTTTTTAATAAAGAATTGTCAAGAATTTGAATTTTCTAATGTTTTCAACAGTCAATAATTAGTACTTTGGTATTTGGTGATTGAGAAGGCTACTTTACTGCATTCTTTTTCAATTATAAGTTATATTTGATAAAGTAGAATTCAAAAGATAAACGACAATTGAGAATTAGAAATCTGTTGTCATAATTGTTCAATTTTAAAACAAGAAGTTAGAGTAAATTAAAGAGAACAGTGTGAAAAAAACTACGATGTAATCAAATCTTGTAATTAATGTAATGTAATAAAATCTTGTAATAAATATGCATCTCACACTAGTTTCTATATAAATAACATAATAAATTATATACAAGATAAGCCGTTTATCTCTTCCTTGGAAATAAAAAAGCGTCGGTTTTGATAGTAATATATTTAGATTTTTTTGCAAAATGTAAAAACAATTTTAAAAATATATTGAGAAAAAAATCAATAAAGTTGTAATAGAAATAACTTAGCATACGCAGCAAACAAAAATTGCTATTATTATATGTCGTAGATAATTCATAGTCTATAGTGTAAGACAAACAATAGAACAAGACCTGAAAATTGTACAAAAGAAAATAAATTTTTTTCCTCAATAACAAAAAACGTAGGCCAAAATCTCAGGATAGAATCCAAGAAAAATAGTTGTAAAAACTCCAAAATAATATATAAATTGCAGTTTTGTATTTTTAAATTCTCTACTCTAAGAAACTTTACAAAATAATATATATTGAAAATAAAAATGAAAATGTACATACAAAATAAATTAAAATGAAACGCAAATATGTTTTATTAATATCTATTAACAATTCTTTATTAATTCCTCAATTTAACGTACACGCAACTTTGAGGAATAGAGCTTTAGATGTTTATATATATATATTACAATTGAGTATATAAAAAAATAATGCTTTGTCGTTGAAGAATCTCAATGCATGATTATGTATATAAAATTCGTCGTTTTTTATATTATATAATTTGTATGTAGAAAGTATTTTCTTTACAACTATAAAATAGATATGTTCGATTCTCAATTTAAGAATAATTTAAATAACGCTCATTGTATGAAAATAAATGTCATTACTGTAAGGATAACTTAATAGCCCTTTTGTAGGACAATTTTTTGCAAATTATTTAATTATAATAATCATTTATTTTATAAAATTTAATGTTAAACATCTTATCAAAAAAATCAATCGCAAGAAAGTGTCTTTTCTTCCAGCATTTTCAAAACAGTTATCCTTGCACATCCAAAATTTTGTACAAATATCATATATTCACAATTTAGTGCATGTACGTTAAATTGAGGAATTAATAAAGAATTATTATTAAATTAAACAAAAATATATATAACACACGTACAATATGAATACAGCTTGCGGTTTTAATCTTAACGAATCGAATAATATTCTATGCACCAACTTCGCTCTATAGAAATTATGCACGAAGTTTACTGCATCCGTGGACAGCCACCTTTTTTTCTTGTTCCCTCCATCAGTCTATAGGTGTCCACGACGCGGTAAGCCACGTGCTTTCTACAAAGCGGAGTTGGTGCATATGTAGAATATCATTCAATTCGTTAAGATTAAAACTGCAAGTTATTTTTACTTTAACGGTATAATGATCACGATACAGAATTTATCGAACGAAATTATATTAAGTATTCTCGAAAACGAAACCATTAGTTTGAGCGATGTTGAGAATTTTAGTTCCACGTGCAAGGGATTTGCATGGATATCCCATTATGAAACTCTCTGGAAGAAAAAATATGCTCAGAGGTAAGTTTCTTTATGTATGAACTTTTTTGTTATTTTACTTGATGGACTCATCACATAAAAAGGAACTTAGCAAAAACCTGGCGAAAAATATATTTAAATAACTTTACGCAAAATACTGCCTTTTTGAAGAATTAAATAATAATATTCTGACATTTAAAATATATCTAACTGAATTTATATATAAGATATTTTAAAATTTATTTATACTTAGCCTTTTAAATTCGCAAAATTTTTGCAGATATTGTGTCGTTTTAAAACATGACTTGATTAAACTTTCTGAATAAAATTGTGCAAATAAAAAAAATTGCAACTAAAATTATAAAAAAGAAAGTTTCTCCAGTTTTAAAAGATTTATGAATGATATTAACTTTTATAAGAAACAATTTCTGAAAAACAATTTTTTGGTATATAAGAATAATTTTAAGAATAGATTTTTGTTATAAGAATAATTTTTTATTATATTATCGATATCTACACGTGCAATTGTAAGAATAATAATATAATTGTTAATAAGGTTTTTTTTGTATAACAATATGATTCAAAAACAAACTCGAAAACTTGAAAAATAATTATTTTATACAAAAGAGTATACATTTTAATTATAACTCCATCAGTAGAGAAGTTTCTAAGATTGCACCTAGAATTTCAGACATGCGAAAAAGTTTCTCTGTTAATTAATAATAATTTATATGACAGATATATATATATATATATATATATATATATATACATATATATATATATATCTGTGCACATATTTCATCGTGCTATGATGCAGTAATAAAATAGAAAACAAATTTTTTTATTATTTTACATTTCATTACAACATCGTCATTAAACATAAAATATCAGTTTGTCGCAATAAAAAACTGTAAAACAAATCAAAAATATATAGTATGCGTAAATATGTATGTATTTTAAAATAGTATTTTGCGCAAACGTTTTGCGTTTTTCACATTTTAGAATTTCCAGAATCTAAGAATCATTGAGCATCATCAGTTTCTTCTATTTGATTCGAATATATAATATGGGATGATGAGTTTAATTTCCATAGTATAAATTTTGAAAATTTTTAAAAGTATTTTAAAAGTGTTTGTAATTTTAGATATCCCACTGTACAGCTGTTTTGTAAAGACAAAATGGGCATTGAATTTAATGACTTAAATATTGAAGATTTTAGAGAGGGTATGAAATGTGCGGAAAACTTGTGGCTTTATGTGCCTCGAATGTCTCAGATGTATTATTACCATAATCTACAATACGACTATATTGATATACAATCTCTTGATCTGCATGCAGAAAAGCACCCTTTAAATATGTTGATTTTACATGATGAACTTATTAGAAATATATATCAACAAGATCCACGGTATGTGACTAAATGTATTTTAAAATATCATTAAAAATCATAAGTATATTTAATTGATTATTCTGTATTTATTTTATAATATGTACATTTTTCAGCCAATGCAATTTAACAGAAAGATACTACAGCAAAATGATATTTTACTGTCTGTATCACAACATTTTTAATTCTTTACTTTGGAAAACAATTATAAAAAAACCCATTCATATGCAGCGTTTGGAAGATTTAATTGTAGTATTATTACAATATTGTCATCCCAATAAGGGTATTACTATGTTGTATATAGATAAATTCATAGACAATATCGTGCAAGACGTATTAAACTTGTTGAAGGATAAATATCGTCGGCATCCAATATTGTCCATATCATCTGAACAATTATCGATTTGGAGAACTAATCGTATTAATAAGAATTTTTGGTGCGTAAAAGACGCAACGTCGATTAAGGATGTACTCGACATAATTATTATAAGTTTTGATTCTTATAAACCATGGATGAAACCGAATCAAATAAGTATGAATCCTATTTTCAAAATGTCGGTATGTTAAGTTTTTTATGTATGTATTTTATTATCTATCATGAATTATATATATATATATATATATATATATATATTTTTTTTTTTTAATTTATCTTAAATATAATAATAATTCTCTATTATAATTATTTTTATTATACTTTCACACTTATTATTCTTCGACAGACTAAAGGAGACACATTATATTATAAACAAACGTTGTGGTTGGCAATATATATCTGCGTTGCAAACAGATTGGGTTTACATGTTGTAACAACAGAACACGATATAGACGATAATTGTACTGAAAAAACACATTTGGATTGGCAATCCGGGTAAATATATAATTTTATTATTAAAATTATTTTTATTTATTTTGTCGAGTATTCGTACTATACGCACAATTAGTTATACGGCAATACTCACATGTATATATATTAATTTATTATTATATGTATTAATTATTATTATTTGTAGTTTAAAAAAATTTGCGGGTGCCGACTTGTGTAATATTGCAACAATCTAACCAGTTAAGAAGAACCATAAACAATCATTTATTTTTCAAATGTGTTACAAACAACTACAATATACAGATATTCACAGCATAAGAAGCAACCAATATAAATAAACATTTTTTACAGATTTTAAACAATCAATGTATACATAAACAACATAATTTTTGACCATTTATTTATTTCTGTTTATAATCTAATTTTCATATAATAGTGACTGAAGAGACAACAGTAAATGTTGAAATGTTCCGTATTTAAAGATTGTAATTTTCTGAAATAATTAAAGTTGTTTATATTTAATATCTATTTCACATTCATCAAAAGGCTTATACATAATTCACTTTGTTGTTTCTATTTAAAATACGAGCGCTAAAATTTAATAACATAAACGATATTTTTTAAATATCATTATTTTGTGGTTGTTTGTGACACAAATAAAAGAATGTTTGTCCATGATTTCCCTCTCAAATAATTTATTTATTGCATTATAATATAAGTCGATGTTAAAAAAATAATATTACATATATTAAAAAAAAATCTTCGTTTTTGCATCAAGTTAAATCTTATATATCATTACAAGTTATAATTATTTTTATGTATCTTAAGTTATGCAATTAAATTATTCCAAAAATATTAATATAATATTTAATTATACAAAGTAATATAGCTTTTTTGTAAAAAATTTATCATTGAATGAATATTATTTTTTAACATTTTATTACGCACTGATGTACATGTACATGTTATTTCTTTATTGTTTATACAGTGAGTGTACAGAAAATAGAGAATGTTTCACGTTTGAATGGACAGATAATACAGATAATGCAAAGATTTCTAACATAAGAAAATGCCAACGAGTGCCGCCTCAAGTTAGAGACAGAAATGCACGTATGGTAAGTAGTTATTTATATAAAATATTGGTAGTGTTAGACTTTCATTTTATAGTGGTTATAACTGCGACGTTTAATATAAAAGACATAATCAACGATGTTTCCTCTGTAAAATACTTTAAAAACATTGAAATCAATAGCTTACATTCTAATAAATTAAAAAAGCATATAATATATTAAATTAGTTTTATTTGAATTTATAGTATTTGATCTGAAATATATCTAATATTTTTAAATTAAAGATCTTACACACATTTTATAATTTGAATATGTACCCAAATGAAACGTTTCGGAAAAAAAGATCGCCTAATCTAAAATATGCGATTGGATTGATAGTTACACATAATCATAAAATGGAAGATAATACACGAAAGATGTTGCTGGG